ATGAAACCTTTGCATAGAAAGGATGAAAATTAAATTACTTTATGTTAATATTTAGCATAGCATTATCCCATTTTTATTTTTCCCGGCAGTTTCCCCCTTATATTACAAAGGTTCCATATATTTAATTTAATATTTACAAATTCAGGTAGATATCTGTTTTCTTGCGAATATTCTATTATCAATTCGAAAAGAAGAAAATTAATTGGGATTTTTTTTTTTAAAAAAAAAAAAAAGAATATTGAATAAATAATATACCTATGAGATTTACAAAAAGATTTATATTGATTGATCTCTATCGACATCATAGTAAAAAATTCATCAAATTTTTTTTCAGAAATTTTCATTTTTATACATAGCTTATGTTTATTAAGTTTTATTGGATTAAGCAAGGTTTCGCCTAACTATAATTTTCAATGGGGAGGAAAAAAAATTATTAACATTTTTTCGTGCACAAATTAAATTGAAAATAACTTAAAGACTTACGAATTCACCGATTCTTCCGCCAAAACTACCTATTGGAATTTCTTTTGTTTGTATAGTTATACTTGAAAGATCATTCTTTGTGTATAAGTATTGTTTCAATTGTGTACACTCAAGATTGTTTATTCTAAACGAAGGACAAAACTCTATAACTAAATAATAAAATGAGTCGATTAGATTATGGCTTAATGTGATTATTGCTGCTATTTAAATTATACTTACATGAATTTTCCATGTATTGAGTTATAGGACCAAGATTATACCATCGCTTTTCAATTATCATAAATTCCAGCCAGCCTCCATGCTTTAGCACTCTTATCATTTGATTTATTGTGTTTAAAGGATTATGCAGACATTGTAATAATGGCGTTATGGCTGTTGGTTTATGGTAAACAAGGTCAAAAGTTTCATTGGGAAATGGAATATCTGTGAATACATTCGTTTGTAAAACGATTGCATTACGTGGTTTAGGAATTTTCGAATAAAAAGAAGATATTGAAGAAGTAGTTGTTATTGCGGAAGGTTTCTCGATGCCAACAAATGTTGATAAAGGGTATTCTGAGGCCATATCAAACGTCCATATTGTTGGGCACGATCTGTAAAGAAAAGATTTCGTTTAGTTTTGTTTTATGAAATTTTTTTTTTTTTTTGTTTTTTATTGTAAATAATTTTTTACACACCCAACTTCAAGAACTCTTGTATTTCCTATACTAAGTTGATCTTGCATAGGAACTGAAAAGTTACTATCCCAAATAATTTTAAATAAATGATGTTGAAGTTCAAGTCGATTAAAATCTTTTTCATCAGTAGGATTTCCCATTTCGATTTGATCGATACGATGCATGGATAAATTTTTAAGATTCGGGTACAATTATTTGTTTATGATTCCAAAAAATAAATTTTTTAATCTTTTGGTCCTAAATGCTTTCGGTCATATTATATATCTTTTCATTATAGGCCTAGACCTTGTTACATAATGTCAACTTTGAAATGAATTGGCATATACATGCAAAACACGATTATAAGAACGAATTTTACGCTAAGTCAGTTGATGACCTCACTCATCAATTTATTGGTTGTACCTTGTAAAATTGCGTTACAAAAATCCATGCAGGGGGATTTTTCCAAAACAAAATTTATTATGTGCTCATATTTTGACCCAATAAGTCCTTTTTTTTTTTAATCATAGAGGATATAAACAAGGGTAAAAACCGGAATAAAAAAATTGTGGGAATGTTCAGTATACCCGCATTTTTTGCATTTTTTTCCGATAAATTTTTTCTCATTCGTTTGCTTGCAATATGAATCATATTAATAATCATCTTTTTACCTTCGTAATTTGCAACTTGCCGTTATTGACCCTCAGAATAATGAATGAATCAATAAATATTTCCTTTTTAACACATCCTTTAATTCAACTTGACCAACCAAAATTCAGATTCTTTTTTTTTTTTTTTAGAGTGATGTGAAACTGTTTACAATTCTGCACGCCCAAATAATCTGCAAAATATAACAAATGTACCCTAAAAAATCATTTTTTGATGATAGATTTTGTCAATGGGTCTTACTTAATATTCGTTTATTGAATCTAGAACCTGCATTAGAAAAAAAAATTTATTAGTAAGTATTATGTACTATATGAATCTGAATGAAGAAGTTCTTACGAATAATTGATTTGATTTGTTTATTTTCTTTTAAAACCACTTCCAAATGTATATATACATAAACAAGTTTCAAATAGCTTGTTATAGCATGTAATACAGTTCATTGACGGATTGATTCACTAAGATGTTGAAATGCGGTTGCAATGTTCGGTCCAGACCCATTACCATGTTTGTCTCTAAGAGGATTTTTAAGTGTTACATAATATTCTAGATTAAATCCTGAGAATAAATGTATTTTTTTTCACATAAAACCATATGGATTGCAAATTCGATATTACTTTTTAAAACTATTTTTATCAGGTTACATCAATAAACTGTTCCAAGCATTCAATACATTTAATGTTGAGGTATTTGCAAATGTTTAAAACATTTTAAAAAATATGGGTATTTACGTGATTAACGCATGTTATTTTTTCTTAAAAAAATAAAATAAAAATAAAAAAAATGTTCTTCACTATCGCTCAATATTTTTGTAGTAGAAGAAAGAGAGGGAGAGAGATTACTTTGAGATATTTGATGATTTTTTATAAATAATTAGAGATTAATCTAATGGCATTCTTTTTAATCACTATCCTTCTTGAAGTCGCCTTTCATGATCTTTTTTTGATTAATAAAGCTATCACATTGTTTCCTATCGACATTTCTTTGTGTAACGATCATTCTGTTATTTTCCTTGGTGAAAAGCTAGACTCATACCCTTGATTAAAAGAACGTCTGCTACATATTTTCTACCTTTGTTGTGATACGTAAAAGAATTGATGTCTAGCTCCTAAAAATATTGGTAAACAGAAACGTAATTCATTATCAGAATTTTTTTAAATATATCATAAATGTAGTTTGATTTATATTTGTTAGTCCAAATACCTATTGTTTATATGCATAATGGGCTAAATAATGTCGACTATCTTAGAATATCGATATCCCTTTTCCCTAGATATTCGAGAATGATATGCTTTCTTTAATAGTGATACAAGTGACTCATTTTGGAGTGGTGGCTTCTCTTTGTGCTTTATTAATTTAATCTTCGTAGTGAATAGAGATCAAAGTTTTATTAGTAATGGATAAATCGAAACGTAGTCTGATATTCTTAATTTTCCGTTATACGCAATGTTTTGTTATACATTCCATTAGGAAAATTTATCTGGACATAATAAATTTTCGCACAGCGCATCGGATCATTTCGGTTATTTCCGGTTATTGTTATGCAAATGCTTTCAGAAACTGTGCAACAAATTGGTATTTTTATCTTCATTATTTTACTTTACTTTTTTAAAATTTTTTTTTTTTTTTTACTCGTGGAACAAAATAATAGTTCGCCAATAAATAAGATTTTTGGATCTACCGAACAATATTTGTGGCTAATATTAGTTAGAGTTCAATTATTACCATTTGCGCCTAATTTCGGAGATTGGAATCTTGATCAAGCTCGCCTATGATACAAGGAACACACAAAGAATGCGTCTTGGCGACGAGGCATCCTTTCTTAAGAATAGACTTTTACACGAATAAGTAAGAAAAGGGAATGATAATCATTAAATGAAAACGAATCGATAGTATAACAAAATATTCAATAATGTTCTGGGATTATGGACTTATTGAACCTTATGCAAAAGTGAAAAACAATTTCAAAGTCGGAATATTTAAAACTTTTGAAAAACCGATCATCTAGGTCACAACTTTGTTGAAGTAGTTAAATTAGCAGAAGATTGTGTAAATGTTGCTTATTACTATTAAAGATGGTGTAAATTATTAAATGAGATAGGATTTTCTACTTCTGTAAAAGTTTTCCTTTCCAACAAGAGAAGGAACTAATGTTCTGCGCAAAGATATCCAAAAATACGTTACCAGCTTAATTGAAGACGCAACCCGAGACGATTACCACATCATATTATTAGGAGAATTCAATGCTGATCTCGATCAGCCTAATAACCCTCCCTTCGCTAGATCCTTTAATATTTATGAATGGTTTTAAATCTGGTGATGATAAATTAAATCCATCATCAGTTAATACCGCTTCCGTTAACGGTTCATAAAAAAACTATGCAAGAATAAAGATATTTTAAAATTAAAGATTGGAACCGGAATATGCTAAATTTATTCGATAGTTGGCAAGATTTTCAAACAATCGAAAATAAGGCATTAAAACAATTTTTTGAATATGGAATTGGTAGACAGCATTTCGTCTTGAAAGGTGTTTAAGGAGTTACATTACCAAAGATCTTATCCGGCTTCGAGGTTAAGCAAATGGCAATTTGGCCGGACAAAGACATAAAAAATTTATTATGTAACTGAATTTTTGACAAGCGATTGCTGCTTCACCTTTGAATCAACGAAGATCTAAAATTTTAAGGGAATCTCCTCAACTAATTCAAAATATTCATTCTGCTGTACCCAAGCTTGATTAAAAAAAATCAAATAGTGTTAACCTCGCCTTATCCCATGGCCCTAAAAAGGCTTTTTTTCTTGATCTTATATAAGGAATTTGTACAGGAAAATTTCATTGTTTTTTTTAAAAAAAAAATAATCCTCGTATTTCACGCGACTAAACGGTTATATTTGCCAACCTGAAAGAATTCGGAATCCTAACGGATAATGTAAGTTTAATTATGTCCTTTTTCGAACTGTGTAACTTAGAAATTAAATATTATATATTTCCATTTTTTTTTTTCGTGTTCTATCGGACAAATGACTCCGAGAGAGTCACACGAATTTTACTTTATTATAATATAAATATAAAAATGAATTTTGTATGACCAAAATTGGATACAATTTACCTTTTTTTTTTTTAATTGACAAATAGTCAAAAAAAAAAGTGAACCTTTTTCTTTTTCAATGATTTTTTTTTAAAATTAAGAAATGGATTCTTTTACTAACTTTGTTCGTTCTTTTGGTAAAGTAAGTAATCAAATGGTTTTTGTTTATTAATTCAAAGCGAATAGAAAAAAGAATTAAATAAATTGTGAATAGTGTAGTTATATGAAGAAAAATAATGGTAAAAGTTTTATGGTTAATCCAAAATATAAAGATGAAGCAATGAAAATTTATGATGGAACAAACTTTTGGGAATTATCAGAAATTTATGAAAAGAGCGATGAAATTAAAAAGAAAATTAGTAGGCTAATTTCGTTTATTTTAATATATATATATATATTTTTACTTTTTTTCATTCATTTCATTCATTTACTGTATTTTTACTGAAAATATTTTTAGAATTACTGATCATCGAGACTAAAAAACAACTTGTTGATGAACATGTAGACCACGCTGGACCACAAATAGGTTAATATCTTATATAAATATTTGCTGCGGCACACTAAATTCTAAAATCTATTTTTAAAAAAAAAAATAAATTATAGAGGTAGTGGCAAATAAACTTGGTAATATTAAGTTCAATGCAGATGTTGAAGAAATTAAATCATTGGAAAGGCTTGTTGAGATCATGAGAGCTTCAAATGATGAAAAGAAACGTGTTAAAGCCGTAGGAAGTTTTGAATCGTTCAAGTAATTATCAAGAAAATCTAATTTTATGGAATACACGATTATTATATTGATTTATAAAATATCTCTTTATACAGTCGGTTAATTGAAACCGAAGGATTTCTTCTTTATACTAATAATTATCATGGGGTGGCTAAAGCCGATTTAGATTGTTTAAAAGAAGAATTTAAGTTAGAAAATTTTTATTATGACGTAAAATGTGGAACTACAATTAATGAAATTATATCAGAATTAAAAAAGGATGAAAGAGCTGTATTTAATTTACCTGGATATGATGGTCAATCAATCGTCGGGTGTAATGCAACCTCAACACACGGGAGTGGCATTACGCTTCAACCTTTGGCATCATTTGTAGTTGCAGTTAACTTTGTTGTACCAGGTGGACAAATTTATAGAGTTGAACTTACAAATGGAATCACGGATCCTATATTATTTTCGAAACAATATCCAAATATCCAATTAATTCAACAAGATGAAACGTTTAACGCAAGCGTAGTAAATTTAGGGGCATTAGGTGTTGTATATCAAGTAACCATTAAAACAGTTCCGTATTATAAAGTAATTTCAATGAGAGAAGAAACAACCTGGGAAGCTGTTAAACCCATCTTATCACAACGACCTTATAATGAAAATGATATTTTAAAACATCATAATGCAGAAGTATGTATTAGTCCTTATACGCCTTACACTCTTGTTACAAGAAGAAATATTGCAACAAAGGAAGATGAAGAAAATTATCCGAAACGACATCATAAAAAATGGTTGCAAGAATTTTTAACTTATCCAATTGTTAGTGATCTTGCAAAAAAGTTAAATGTTGATGGAGGTCAAATTTTATTTATTTTATTATATTTATTTCCAAAAATTGTTCCTTTATTAATTGAAACTTCTTTAAAAACTCAATATAATGATATTCCCGTAGTTGATGATTATAATAATATTTACTTGGATGGATTTATTAATGACTTTCGTGCTATTGCCGTAGAATTTTCATTTTCAATGATAGATGATAATCATATTAAAGCAATCGATGCTTTAAGGGAAACACTTCAAGAAATTAAAGCAAGGCTTAATTATAATATTAATGGTCCTCTTGTTATACGGTTTACCGCTGCTTCTCCTCAATATTTATCCATGGCTTATAATACTAATGGAGAACCAAGGTGTTTTGTTGAAATGCCAATCTTAGCATACGTAAAGTATAAGGATTTTTATTTTTATTTTTATTTTTTTAATAAACAATTTTTAATTATTATCCTACTTTATAGGATACAAGAATCGATTATTATACACACGTTTATAAACCATTATCTGGTACCGCATTAAAATACAAAGCAAGGTTTCATTGGGGTCATCATTTAGATTCTGATTTAGATTATAAATATCTTTACAATTCTTTTGATAAAAATGCTATAGATTTTTTTCTCAAGCAAGTTACTAAATTTGATTCTCAAGGTTTAATGACTAATAATTTATTAACAAAAGTTGGCCTTATTCCTACTGTCGTTACGACTTCAAGAAGTGTTAACGTTGGTAAAAATAATTGGTTTAGAAAATTTTTAAATTTCAAAATAAAATGATGCATTTAGTAGTATTTAAAATTGTAGATTGACGAAACAAATTCGGTCAGCGGTTAATAAAATTGACGTTACGTCGATCACTTTGTGTAATGTCGTGATTTCATCGTCTCAAAGTTATAGCATGTAAATTTTTATCACGATTGAACTACTTTTATTAGTAGCGAATTTTTTATTAACGAAAAATTTCTAAGTTTCACATTTAAAAGTGTTGTTTCACCGTGATTTACAAGCATATGATGTGTGAACTATGAAAATATTTTTGTCTTTATAATGGCGAAAAAAAGTTGTTAATAAGTTGCATCTCTCAGTTTCATTTTAGTGTCTAAAAAAAAAAACGTGAATTGCGATTGTAGAATAATTTCATAATATTTTCTTTCTTTTCTTTCACTATTTACTATAAGCATGATAGAAGAAGATTATTTTGATGAAATTTACAGTGAAAGAATTTCACAAAAGTTTCATAAAATGTTAGCTTGTATTAATATGAAAATATTAACCATTCTAGTGCAATTAGTGATTATATAAACTTTGAAGATTTGAAAAGGAATTAAGAAATAAGAAATTGAATAGGATGAAATTATAGAATCTTTAGAACAAACAAGATTTACATCATGCGTAATTGTTAATTATATTGAAGAAAATTTCAGCAGTGTAAAGAAATAAGAAATTTAAGATAGCTTTGCAATTTACTTGGCACATAGTAAGTTGATAAGAATGCTATTAAAGAAGTTAATGGTGTTTTATCAAAATTAGAAATGTGTGATTTACATTTTCAATTTAATAATAGTATTTGCATAAATCACTAAATAAACAAACAAAGAATTTTAATGAAAGAATTATTCAATAGTGTCAGTGTATATCTTATAAAATATATGTAACTTTTTTTCTAGAAATACAGTATATGCTGTATACTCTTAATATTTAAATAAAAAAATATTCAAGTATCTTATTTTATGACAATATGTATATAAAGTGCTACAATTATATATAAATTTATATAATCAAGCTTTTAAGAATATTAATATATTTGTTGCTTATATTATGAGAATTTGAGTAAGCATTTTTACTATTATTCTAAAATCAAAGAAAAAGGTGAAATAACATATGTAATAAAAAATTACATAATAGTGATAATAGAAGGATTCAAATTTTTAGTAATCTATAAATAAAATTGTACAAACAGAAAATAATAATAAAATTAAAAAAAATATTTTAATTAAAACTTTTAACATTCTTTTTTTATTAATATTTCACAAAATATATGCTAATATTTTACAATTATTTTAAATCAAATTAATAATTACAAAAACAAAAAAAAATTATTCTAGATATACTTTTTAATCTATTTATGATAAAGTTTTTTTCATGAAAATTTTTTTAAAAAAAAACTAAAAAAATAAAATTGATAATTTTAAGATATTTCTATATATTTGTTTTTTTTTAAAAAAAAATATTTTTTAAATAATTTACCTATTTTAATAGGAATTTAAATATATATTAAACAAAAATTATAAAATTTACAAATAAATATTAGCTCAAGAAAATTTACTATAAAATTTTTACAAATTATTTAAGAATATAATAATGTTTTTTCAAATTTTTTAAATGATTTTTTTTTTGAAATAATTAATAAAATATGTTAAAAAAGTTAATAATATATAATCTTTAATAAAAAAATACCATAAATTAAATTTTTGAATAAATAATAAATATTGTAACATTTAACATTTTAATATTATTAAATCTAGCTTTTTTACTTAAAAATTTGGTTATTTTAAATTTTGGCTAGTTTAGTTATATATTATAATTATTAAATTATTTTTAATAAATATTAATAGTTTATTATATAATATCATATACAGATCGATATAAACAAAATTTACAAGAATTTAAATGAAAATAACAAATCTAGTAAAATATCTAATTAAAGAAAATAAAATTTAAAATTTAGTTATAATTGATAATATAAATTTTAAAAAATACTTTAAATTTGATAATATTTATAAAGTTATTTATAGTAATTACTATACAACTCTTTAAATAGCTTTTTAAATAAAAATAGTATCTAAATTAGTTGTAACAGATAATAAAAAGTATTATAATATTACAATAAATTGTAACTTTATTAAAATTCAAGTTTTAACAGATGATAAATAAATATAATAATATTATAATACCATCTCTATTTTCAAATTAAATTATCAATTGAAGTAAAAACTAATCTAAATAAATTATTGAATTAATAGCTAAAAATCTATTATTTAATATGAATCAGAACATTAATAATATTTTAATAATATTTTAACAAATTATATATGAGTAACTAGATTTTAAAAAAATTAATAAAGGATTTACTTATAAAACAAATTTTAATACAAAATTCATTAAACATGTAATACTTAATATTGTCACTAGGTTCGTTTTTATTTATCTTAACATTTAAATTAAAAGACTGCAGTAGTTAATATTACACATTGGAGTTTCTGATCTTAGAATTTTCTTTAAATCCTACAGATATCTATTATACTTGAATTAACTTGATAATTTATCACATCTTAGAATTTAAG